AGAGTACCCTTGCATCCTTGCCCCATTGGCGCATCCTTAGCGACTTCCGCCGGCCAACCTCGTTTGAACAACGATGACATGGCCCTCCAAGGCCCTTGCATCTTGACCGCGCATCCTTCTGATACGGGTCGACTGTATGAGATCCAGATCGGTTCGGGGAGGGTGCCCTCATGTTGCCTCGTGATTGCTGGATATTCTTTGTTCATCCGGGGGGAGGGTGCCCTCGAACCTTTTTCAGCTTGGCAAGCGGAGGGTCACATGTTCTTGAGTGATGTTTTCCTGTCCTAGTTCTGACCGAATGTCATGGAACACGACAGCGTGCCAAACTATATTGCTGGGTGCAATCGCTGATTACCGCATGCTACAGACAGCACTTCTTTTGCGCTGATCACGCTCGGGGCCCGCCGAAAGTCCAAACGAGAAGAACAGAGAATGCGGATGAGGAGCAGCGGCAGCAGGAGCTCGAGAAGGATTGATATTCATCCTTCTTCTCCTCCTTCTCCTCCTTCTCTTCCTCAACCCTTTCAGTTACCTTGACTCAGGCGAGCAGTGGCCATAGGCGTCAAACAAACAAATGAGGTAAGATGCTACATGCAGCAGTCGCAAAGAAAGTGGGAAGCCGAATCATGCAGGAAAAGCAGAGGGGCCCGCAAGGATTCGTAGAAGCGGTGCAGACTGTCATCAGGAGTTGGGGTAGGATAGGGCCAACCAGATCATGACATTATAGCCTTGAATGGGGGCAGGCAGTAGAGGAACAACTAGAGGAGAAGAGACTGGCCGTGATGCGAGTGGTAACGCAGGTAAGGTGTCTTGCATAATGTTCGGAGTGCATTCGACACGGGGCGAGTGGTCAATGCTTGCAGAAGCAATAGACAGCCGCGCGCACACAAAACACACACAGACACAGACACGGACACAGACACAGACACAGACACAGGCACTCGCACTCGCACTCGCACTCGCACTCGCACTCGCACTCGCACTCGCACTCACACTCGCGCTCGCACTCGTACTCGCACTTACACTCACACTCACACTCACACTCACACTCACACTCACACTCTCACACACACACACACACGCACACTCTTCTTCACCACTTACTCGTAGAGCTGGTCAGAGGAGCCTTGGAGTAAGCCGTGGTACTGCACACGCCTGGTACTTAGTGGCGTTCAGTCTTAGAAACCCGCCAAATGCTTGATGTACTGGCAATTTGTATGGCCATATGTAATGTATAGAAGCCCTCCTCCTCCTTCTCCTCCTCCTCCTTCTCCTCCTCCTCCTCCTCCTTCTCCTTCTCGTATGCGGCGCAATTGCTTGCACGGCACTCTGGCAGGTGACCGTTGCCGCCAGCGTGCTGGTCATCGCAGTGTTTTGGGTGTGCGGCTCGCGTGTGGCGCGGCCTACCCTCTTTCTGCGTTATATTATTCTTTTTCTCATGGACCTTCCTCGTCGGAGGCATGCCAGCGTTCTAGTCTTCCTCGTCCTCCTCCCCCTCCTCCTCCTCCTCCTCCTCCTCCTCCTCCTCCTCCTCCTCCTCCTCCTCCTCCTCCTCCTCCTCCTCCGCGCCCCTGCTCAGCTCGCGCGCGCGCCAGCGCGCAGTCGGCCCACCGCCGCCGCCAGCCCCGCGGCGCGCTGCGCCGTGCGCTGCGAGGCAAGCGGAGCAGTAAGCCTCCGCGCTGCCGCGCTGCAGCGTCGCTACCAGGGCCTGGTGCCAGGTAGCGCCGTTGCTTGCGCTCTTCCCAGGCCGCCGCGGCTGTGCCGCGGGTAGCGCGGCTCCAGCCCGCCGGCGTGTCCGCGCCAAGAGCGGCGTTCGCGACCACCACGCCGACGTGAGTCGTGCCAGCCGCGAGGTCGGTGAAGGCCACATCGAGGCGGGCTGGCTCGACTGTGCCATCCGCGCGCACCCCTGTCCCAGGCGGGCACGGATTGCTCCGTGTCCACACCCGTCGCGCCCCGGGCGCCCAGCCAGCTGGCGAGCCACTCCCTGACGCCGTCGTGGCGCTGGGTCGTGCCGTCGCCGACGTGGCAGCCCAGGTAGTGCCCCGGCGTCGTTGCCAGGTCGGCCCCGCAGCGCGTGCCGTCCTCCCGGCGCCGGAGGCAAGTGGCGCTGGCGGCCTCGGGCAGGGGCAGTTGCAGGCGCAGCGCCAGGGCGGGGAGGAAGTGCGCGTCCGCCAGCACGTGGTCCTCCTACGTCCGCGGCCCTTCCCGCTGGCCGAGCGGAGCTGCGCTGCTTGGATCGGCGGCAGGGCGCCTAGGAGCCGCTGCCGGCGCGCGTGCTCCTCCTCCTCTTCCTCCTCCTCCTCCGCCGCCGCCGCCTCCTCCTCCTCCTCTTCCTCCTCCTCCTCTTCCTCCTCCTCTCCTCCTCCTCCTCCTTCTCCGCCTCCTCCTCCTCCGCCGCCTCCTCCTTCTCCTCCTCTTCCTTCTCCTTCTCCTCCTCCTCCTCCTCCTCCTCCTCCTCCTCCTCCTCCTCCTCCTCCTCCTCCTCCTCTCTCTCGTCCTTCTCCCTCTCTTCCTCCCTCCTCCCTCCTGCCTTCCTTCTCCTTCCATCCCTTATCCTTTTGGGCAGTTCCTCCTTGTCTGACAGACGTGTCAGTAGGGCGGGTTGAGCGTTTCTCCCAGGACCGTCCTCCCGTTTGTGGCCACAATGGAACGACCCGCCCGCCATCCTGGAGGCTGTTGCAAATTTCAAACGTAAGGATCATGAGTAACGATGAAGTCTCAACCGAATCGCACGGCCCGCAGGATAGATGGAGGGAGGGAGGGAGGGAGGAGGAGGAGGAGGAGGAAAAGGAGGAGGAGGAGGTAGAGGAGGGAGGAGGAGGAGGAGGAGGAGGAGGAGGAGGGAGGAGAGGAGGAGAGAAGGAGGGGAGGAGAGGAGGAGGAGGAGGAGGTGAGGAGGAGCAGGAGGAGGAGGAGGAGGAGGAGGAGGGAGGAGGATGGAGGGAGGAGGGAGGAGGAGGAGGGAGGAGGGAGGAGGAGGGAGGATGAGGGAGGATGAGGGAGGAGGAGGGAGGAGAAAGGAGGAGGAGGAGGAGGAGGCGGAGGAGGAGGAGGAGGAGCAGGAGGAGGAGGAGCAGAAGAACCATTGCAAACCCAACACTCATCAACGATGTTGAAGTACACCCTCCCTCCAAGATCCTTCCTCATATGCCTCTACAAAGGGCCATTTCCTCTGAGGAATTTGCCCCGTTGGGGGACAACCGTGTGAACATGTTTAAGCTTGTCAAAACACCATTCTCAGGATTTCAACGCCACGAGTTGACCTGACGGATACGTTTTGGCGATCCTGAGTCGTGCCAGAACGCCCTTCCTGGGATTTCAACACCGCGAGCCGACGTAACTGTTGCGCCATGGCAATCCTGAATCGTTCCACACCGCCATGTCTGGTACGTTAATCATGAGTACCAATGAAACCCTTGCACGTATTCAAACGAATGTGCGCGGCGCTCAGGCGAGAACCACATTTTGAAAACAAGCCGCCCTCAATCCGTGAACTCTTGCAAACCTTTGAAGCGAACGTGCGCGGCGCTAAGGCGAGAGCCCCATTTTGAAAGCGAACCGCCTCCAATCCGTGACACCCTTGCAAATTTTGAAAACGAATATGCGCGGCGCGCAGGCGCGAGCCACATTTTGAAAACGACCCGCCTTCAATCCGTGAAGCTCTTGCAAATATTTGAAGCGAACGTGCGCGGCGCTAAGGCGAGAGCCACATTTTGAAAACGACCTGCCCTCCATCTGTGAAGTTGTTCTCAGGTTTTGAGCATCAGGGTCATAAGTGGTGAGGAAGTCTCAGGCGAAACGCTCGGCCCGCCCTTTCGACTGGCCTTGGGGTGTGCGAGGGCACATGTAAGGAAAAAGAATAGAGGAAGGAGGGTGGGAGGGATGATGATGAGGAGGAGGAGGAGGCGGATGGTGCTGAAGCCAATGAGGGGGAGGAGGAGGGCCAGACTAAACCCAAGACCGACCATCGATGTTGCAATGCACCCTCCCGCCCCACGTCCCCTCCTCATGCATCCTTGCAAGCCTGCAGAAAACACCCCACTTGAAAGACCATCGCCCTATGTGCCTACCATTCAGGCGGGATGCCCGTTTACAAAAGGGATTGCTCTGCATCCTCTTAGCCAAAATGTAATCATGAATGCGGAAAAGGTTGGATCAAATATCAAACTGTTCAGCGAGGTGTCCAGCGACATTTGTTTTGCTTTGTGAAAGATGAGACACCCCCTCCTGATCATGAGCCCCGGGGCAATCCCAAGCGACAGCCCAACTTTTAAACGGAACCGGCCTCCATGCTTGCAGTTGCTACATGTGATCAGGTTTTTGGTTTATTAACTCGGTGGAAGCCTCAAGCGAAAGTCCATGTTGAAAAGGCGCCGTCCTCCATGCTGAAGAGGTGCAAGTGCGACGGACAGGCTTGGAAGAGAGATCAATTTGAAGACGGCCCCATCCATCTTTGCAGCTGTTGCGATCTTTGAGTGCGAATGTGCGCGACGCTTGGGCAAGAGCCTCATTGAGGCGAGAACCACAGTTCCCCCCCTCCGCGGCTCCACCCCTGTGAATTTTGGAGATGCCAGGCTCCATGGTCGTAAACGGTGGAAGAATCCAGGCGACGCGCCCAGGCCGCCCCACCGACACGTCTGGGGAGGCGGCCGAGCGGAGTTATCTACTCATCCATCCAGCCGCCCCAAATCTTCCCAGCCATCCTGTGGTGTGGGGTCCTCGCTTTGAAGAGACAACGCCCCGCGTCTCCTTCCCTCCCGTTGCCCTTCCCCCTCCCTCCTCCTTCCGCATGTTTCTGTTTCGGAGCACCCCTCACATGCTCCGTGGTCCCAGAGGGAGTCCACCGAAGGTCCCACATGCTGTGATCACATGTCCGCGCCCATACAGCGCTTCGTGGCGCCATAGGGATCTCCACCGAAGGCCCCAGTGGCTGTGATCACATGCGTCCCCGACACATTTCGGCACACACCTCACATGTTTCGTGGCCCAATAGGGAGCTCCGTCCACCGAATGCCCCAGTGGCTGTGATCACATGCGTCCCCGCCGCCCATTTCGGCACACCCCTCACACGCTTCGTGGCCCCAATAGGGAGCTCCACCGAAGGCCCCATTGGCTGTGATCACGTGCGTCCCCGCCATTCATGTCGGCACAATCTTCACACGCACCGGGGCCCCCCAGGGAGCTCCGCCGAAAGCCAAGGTGGCTGTGATCACATACGTCCCTGGCCTCATAGGGAGCTTCCCCCAGTGGCTGTGATCGCATGCGTCCCCGCACCCTTCGCACTCTTCGTGGCGCCATAGGGAGCTCCACCGAAGGCCCCAGCGCTGTGATCACATGCGTCCCCGCCACCAGTGTCTGCGCATCCCTCACACGCTTCGTGGCCCCAGAGGGAGCTCCACCGAAGGCCCCAGTGGCTGTCACACATGGTCTCCCGCCGCCCGTTTCGGCACACCCCTCACACGTTTCGTGGCCCCAGAGGGAGCTCCACCGAAGTCCCCACTGGCTGTGATCACGTGCGTCCACGCCGTCCATGTCGGCACATCCCTCACACGCTTCATGGCCCCATAGGGAGCGCCACCGAAAGCCTTAATGGTTGCGCCCGCATGTGTCCTCACCATCCATTTCGGCACACCCTTCAAACGTTTCGCGGTCGTTCGCGGTCCCATAGGGAGCTTTACCGAAGAGGATACGCACCATTGCGGTACTCTCAGCTGCATATGGTTGTGTCCTTAGCCTGGATAATTTCGATGCGTCGGCCCCAGAGGTCCAGACCACTTTCCTAGGGCTGGTTTCTCCTTTCCTCTCATTTCCTCCCTCTCCTTTCCTCTCCTCTCCTCTCCTCTCCTCTCCTCTCCTCTCCTCTCCGCTCGTCTCCTCTCCTCTCCTGTTCTTTCCTCTCGTCCTCCTCCCCCTCCTCCCTTTTCTCCCTCCTCCCCTGCGTGCCTCTGCTTTCCGCATCCCTCTCCTCTCTCATTTCCTCTCCTCTCCTCTCCTCTCCTCTCCTCTCCTCTCCTCTCTCCTCTCCTCTCTCCTCTCTCCTCTCCTCTCTCCTCTCCTCTCTCCTTTCCTCTCCTTCCTCTCTCTCTCTCTCTCCTCTTCCCTCCCTCTCCTCTCTATCCTCTCCTCTCCTCTCCTCTCCTCCCCCTCCTCCCTCGTCACCTTCCTCCCTCCCATATTGGCACACCCCTCACACGCCTCCTGGCCCCATATGGAGCTCCTCCTAAGGCCTCAATGGTGCCGCCCGCGTGCGTCCCCGCCACCCATTGCGGCACACCCTTCACACGCTTCGCGGCCCCATAGGGAGCTCCACCCAAGGCCCAAATGGTGCCGCCCGTATGCGTGCCCGCCACCCAGGGCAGCACACCCCACGTACACTTCGTGGCCCCACATGGAGCTCCATCCAAGGCCCCAATGGTGCCGCCCGCATGCTCCCCCATCACCCACTTCGGCACACCCATCGCACGTGTCGTGGCCCCATATGGAGCTCCACCCAAAGCCCAATTGGTGCCGTCCGCACGCGTCTCCGCCCTCATGTCGGCACACGCTTCGCACGTTTCGTGGCCCCATCCATGGTTCCGTCCGCATGCGTCCCTGCTGCTCATTGCGACACGCCCTTCGCAGGTTTCGTGGTCACACAGGGAGTTCCACCCAAGGCGCCAATGGCGCCGTTCGCATGAGTCCCCGTCGCCAATTTCGGCACACTCCTCACACGCTTCGTGGCCCCATAGGAAGCTCCGCCGAAAGCCCACTTGGTGCCCTCCGCATGCGTCCCCGCCACCCATGTCGGCACACCCCTCGCACGTTTCGTGGCCTCATCAATGGTTCCGTCTGCATGCGTCCCCGCCGTTCATTTCGAACCGCCTCTCGCACGTTCCGTGCTGCCACAGGGAGTTCCACCCCAGGCGCTAACGGAGCCGTTCGCATGCGTCCCCTCCACCCATGTCGGCACACCCCTCACACGTTTCGTGGCCTCATAAGGAGCTCCACCCAATGTTCCAGTGCCACCGTTCGCATGAGTGTCCCCCGCCTATCTCCTCACATGTTTCCCAGTTTCCGGGGCCCCACAGGCAGGTCCACCCAAGGCTCCATGAGGAGATCCACTGGAGGCGATATTCACAGCAACGGTATTCACAGCTGCATATGGTTGGGTCGCTCGCCAGGATCATTTTCTGATGGTCCCGAGGCCCGGGGAAGGCCCCTGGAGACCGAAAAGGGCAAACAAAACGCGGCTCCAATTTTTCTGGAGCGTCGGATCCCTGGGTATAAGGACAACCCTAGCTGCCTCGATACCCGCTTTTGATACGCAACGCGTACCGCGCTCAATACTTCCGTGTCAAAACGCTGCGTGTTGGCTGAAAACATGTTGGCCCACTTTGGGCGAACGTGTCGCGTCAGACCTGCGTCTTCGGCCTGCGTGCTGATCTCCGTATCAGCCCGCGTCAGACCTATACGTCTTCAGCCTGCGTGTGTCGAGCCTGCGTGTTGAGCCCGCGTCAGGCCTGCGCCTTCAGAGCTACGTGTTGCGAGGAGGAGGAGGAGGAGGAGGAGGAGGAGGAGGAGGAGGAGGAGGAGGAGGAGGAGGAGGAGGGCGGCGGTAGAGGGAGGAGGAGAAGGAGGATGATCAGCCAGGGGGGATCAGGCAGGAGGTGCTGCGCATCGGGGCAGCTCAGAGGACATCGGGTCGGAGGGAGGGCGGCGGCTGCGGGCGTCCCCGCGCCGCTGCCGGCCGCGTCGCTTCCGGCCGCCGCCGCGGGCAGCGGCGGCAGGCCGGCGGCCTCGGGGTCTGGCAGGGGGGGGGGGAAGGGCAAGGTGTCACCTCCTGCTCTTCCTCGAGGAGGAGGAGGAGGAGAGGAGGAGGAGGAGGAGGAGGAGGAGGAAGAGGAGGAGGAGGAGGAGGAGGAGGAGGACGAGGAGGAGGACGAGGAGGATGAGGAGGATCGAGGATCCAGACGGCTCCCCTCCAGGCGAGGGCTCGGGCGCCGGCGGCTTGCTGTCAGCCCTCCCGGAGAATGAGGCCTGCCGGCCGGACCAGGTCCGCGGCCGATCTCTCTGGAGGGCTCGGGGGCCTCAGGGGTGCTTCAGTCGCCAGGCGGCATTCAGGAAGGCAGGGAGGCATGTGTGGAGGGTTTCTCCGAAGGGCTTAGACGACCCGTCCTCCTCCTCCTCCTCCTCCTCCTCCTCCTCCTCCTCCTCCTCCTCCCTCTTTCTCCTCCTCCTCCTCCTCCTCCCCTCCTCTCCTCCTCCTTCCTCCTCCTCCTCCTCCTCCTCCTCCACCTCCTCCTCCTCCTCCTCCTCCTCCTCCTCCTCTCCTCCTCCTCCTCCTCCTCCTCCCTCCTCCCTCCTCCCTCCTCCCTCCTCCTCCTCCTCCTCCTCCTCTCCTCCTCCCTCCTCCTCCTCCTCCTCCTCCTCCCCCCTCCTCCTCCCCCTATCCACCTCTTCCATTTCCTCCTCCTCCTCCTCCTCCTCCTCCTCCTCCTCCTCCTCCTCGGGTAGGTGGCCCAGGTCAGGCGCCAGCGCGAGCGCCACCCCCGAAGCGGCCACACACCCACTTCCTTCCGCGGGGCGCATACACCCCCATGGATAGCGCGGGCCTGGCGGCGGCAGCGCCGCGATGGCAGCAGGTCTGTTACGCATAGTCATGTACAACCCGCTGTGTGCGAACACCCACTCCAGGCTCTTAGATATCGCGCACGAGTTGGGCACCAATGATTTGATAGGATTGGTTGGAACTCAGCTCAAAAGCAGATGAGATGTTGTGGAGGATACTCGCACGGTGAGCATAGATTGTACTATTGATGCGGGCTACTCTCATGGCCAGTTCACTGTGAGAAGTTGTGGGATATCTTTGCTGTTGAGGCGGACGAGGTTCCCCAGACGCTGTGTCAAACGTATTTTCGACGTGCCGAAGAGCATCAGAGGACGAGCCCTTGGAGTACTGCTGGAGTCTCAAGGGCTGAAGTTCGGCATTATCCTTGTATACTTTCCTCCCGGAGAGACCTCGTCAGGCGGACGGCAGCATTATGACCGAGGCATTGAGCACTTACTCGAATAGATTTCCGAATCGATGACTGTGATACGAGAGCGGGGAGCAGTAACCATCATATTGACAGATCTGAGCGGAGCACTTCGCACAGTCCGTTCGACAAAGTTGCGGGCACACATGGGACAGGCAAAATCACACTTTCGCCGGCGAACTTGGACGGGTGTGCGATGACTAGCGCCTCGACTCACTACGAGGGGCCCCCGACGTACGTCGGCGAGAAGGGCAGCGCGTACATCGATCACGTGCTCGTACCACAGGAGTTGCTGAAGACTGTAGAGCGCGTACATGTCTTGTCGAACTCAGCCAGACGTCTACAGCTGATCAAGTCTCGCGAGCCTCGTGACCACAGGCCCGCATTGACCACAATGCTGGCTCAGACTTCCAACGAGCCTATGCCGAGGCGCCCGCCCAGGCCCAATCGAGAGGCGCTTTATCAGTGCGTGCAGACAGGATATAGGAGGAATGCGGTTTTTAATGCGATGGAGGAGCAGATCAGCCAGGTGGAGGAGGAGTTTCAAGCAGCAGGAGCAGGCAACGTAGACAGCATGAGCGAGCTTTTGATTCGCGCCTTGAACAAGGCGGCGGTTGACCAGCTGACAGAGTCCCCGCTGTGCTCAGAGAGCCACAAGCAGCGCGCTAGGGATATAGCCAAGCTACTGCATGAGCGCCGTGAGTTAAGAGGATCAGCTGGAGGGGCGGAGGACATCGAGGAACTCACGAATAGGATAAATAACAGCAGCAAGCATAGACTTGAAGCCAGTACGGAAATACTGGAAAGAAATACAAGAACGACGGACTCGAGAATTGAAATCAGCAGCCAAGTAACAAAACAATTATCTCGTGCAAAGGTTGGCGAGACTCCTAGCATGTAGAAGGCGAGGCCCACGCCAGAGGGAGTTCACGGCCATCGCCAACAGCTCAGCGTCTGCCAGAGCGCGGGCACATCGAATGAGA